TCAAACCCGAAAATATTCCGGTTCGTTAGAAATCAAGGTTCAAGAAAAGGAATCAATAGGAGAAGTTAAGTTTTTTTCTGTTCCGGAAATATGAGAACTTGATAGCCAAAAACCCGATAGGGGTGCGGAATATGTGCTGGAAAAATTAACCGGTGCCAAGGGGGATAAAAATTCTTGGGAAATAGTGCAAATAATCGGCAAGGATATCGCTCGATTCCATGGGATTTATTGACCGGTTATTTTAAGACTTTTGTCCGCCCGTTTGCCTGACAGAATACTGGCTCATGGTTGAATATTAGACCAGTTTGGTCAAAAAGGAAGCAAAAGCAAAGGCAACGTAATTGACCCACTCCAATGGTTAAAAAAATACCCGTGTGATTTATTAAGAATCTATTTTGTAGCTAAAATTAATTTTCTACAAGACGGAGTCTGTTCTGAAGACTTGTTAAAAGATTTTTATCATGATTTTTTGGTTAATAATTTAAGTAATTTAATCTCACGAGTAAATAAAATGATCCATTTATATAGTGGAGGAATTATCCCCAAAAATAATTCTGACTGAAAAAAAGAAATTAGAATTGTTGATTCTCAAAAAGAGTCATTAAAAAGATTGGAGGAATACCAAAAAAAATGTAATTTGGCAGTAGCAGAATTTCAAAAAAAAATGAATCAATATAAACTTACGGAGGCTTTTTCTCAAATCAAAAGTTTACTTAATGAAAGTAATAAATTAATTTCTGATTTAGCCCCTTGAGAATTAGCCAAAAAAGGTGATACTTCGCTTTTGAATTTAACTCTTAATTATTTAACCAACGGAATAAAAATTGCATCTTTTTTGCTTGCTCCACTGGTCCCAGAAACCAGCAAAAGGATTTTAGAAATTTTTAATATCAACCACCAACAATTAAATTGAGATAATTGTTTAGATTTTGCTTCAGTAAATGGAATTAAAGTGAAATCATTAGAAAAGCATTTATACGAACCATTATAAAACACCCCATTTGATGCCTTTCTTAAATTTTCTTTTTATGTTGGCAAGTAGTTATTTTAACCTCTTCTTCCTCCTTAACTTCCAAACACTCCACACTCCCATCACCACCACCAAACTACCTAACAAAAACACTGGTATCATTCAACTATTATCATTATAAGAAGAAGTAATACTTCCTTCCTGAGTTTGTTGTAATTGATTTGTGGCTTCTAAGTATAAGTATTCATTAATTTGGTAATCAGTAAGCATTTGGTCTTCGGCTAGGTTATAGTATTGACGGATTTCACTTTCTTTTGCTTGCTTTTCTTGGTCGTAGGTGAATCTTTTGGCGGCAATTATTATCTCCTTAGGGGATTTAGTGGTTAGGTCTGGGTGCTGTTGTAAGAATTCTGGGTTGTCTTTTAGGGGTGCTAATAATTCTTCTACTTTTTCTTTAGTTTCAAAATTAGGGATAGTAGAGAAATTGTTTACTAAGTCTTCAGTGATTGTTGACTTTTCTGGACGGTTTTGTTTAATTCAGGTGTCGATTGAGTCTCTTAGACGTTGTACCTCTTTAGGGTATTGGTCAAACTCTTTATTAGTGAATGTTTGTTCTCAGTCTTTACCTAAGACAGCTTCTAAGGATATATCGGTTATTTTTTTAATAGTTCAGTAGGATTTGACTGCTGAGATGGATTGTTGGAGGAGGGATTGGTCGAGGTCATCTTGGGATTGGAATTGATTTTGGTATTGTTGTTTTAATTCTTGTTCTTTTTGTTGGTTTTGGTGGTATCTGCGAGTGTTTTCTTCGTGGATTAGTTGGGATTTTTTGTTGAGGTAGAGATTGTTGATTTTTTTTAGATTTTCTTTGCTTTTATAAAAGGCTTTTAGAGAGTTATAAATTTCTGCTAGTTTTTGGAGGTTTTTTTCAGCATTTAGTTTGTCCTTTAGTTCATTTGTCTTTTGTCTGAACTGGTTTAAATGTTTTTTTAAGAATCCTCTAACTTTGTTTTTAGAAGGTATTTTTTTAACTCTTTTGAGGGTTAAGTATCTTTCAAAAAGAGAACACTCTTTACCATCTACGGATAAGTGTTCGAGTTTAGGAAAT